ACGTGTGTGTTGCCGATACACTTACATGCACACACACACACACACACACACACACATGCACATGGCCAGCTGAGACGCTTAACAGTAACAGCGCGTCAGCCAATAACAGCGTCTGTTGTAGCAGCAACAGTATCAAACAGCAACAACAAAATTAGCAGCAATAGCAGCAACAGCAGCGGCAGCAACTACGTATGCATGCATGTACATATTCTTATACATATACATACATATATATAAATGTATAGAAATATATGTAAATACATTTGTATATATGGCTAGAGTGGGCTGGTCGTGGCCGCTGCTGGCCGCCGTCGCGCCGGCCACTGTTATAAAATAGCTCTACTCTCACATAGAATTTGTCATTCGGCGACAATTTCTAAGCACCCAAAGACGTTAAAGGCGTCCCGTGCCTGCCTGCCTGCCTATCAGCCTATCAGCCTATCAGCCTGCCTGTTTACCAGTCAGACTCACAGCCTTCAATTCAGTTGACTTGTATTCCTTGCCGGAACAGTTGGAACTTAAAAAGTGCGCGCGCTTAAAACTATAAAAGTCAAATAATTTAAATTTTAATCCAGTTCAATTCAAATTAAAAAAAAAAAAAAAGATTAATTAAAAAATGCCTTTTGCAAGTCAACAAATGCAATCCGTGGCCAGCCAGCAGCTGTCAAAATCGGACACCATCAAGCTGCGTAACAAACACATTGGGTTAGTATAAACAAATGAATTTCCTTAACTATTGCATAAAATAGACTACAATTGTTTGCATAAACGTGTGTGTGTGTGTGTGTGTGTGCGTGTGTGTGTGTGTGACTGCATAGATTTGCAATGCATGCTAATTACATGCATACGTAGTTAAACATGTTATGTTTATGTTTACGTTATGTTATGTGATGCTCGCACTTACATATGTTATGCGCATGTTAGGTGACCTTCTGTCAAGCGATTTCGCTGTCAAGGTCAACAAGCGGCATCCCCACACGGCACAGTCATCGTTGTCGTTCTGTCGTGCTCTTTGTTGCTCTCTGTTAGTGCCACATGCCAGCTTGCCTGGGGAAGGGGGTGCCGTGCCGTGGCTGTAGCAGTGCAGTGCTCTGCTCTGCCGCCGTTTTTGTCATCCGATGACAAATGCTAACAAAACTTTTGGCAATTGCCAAACATTCGCGGCCCACTGAATGGGCCGAAAGTAGCCGCATTTATTTTTGGTCTTTATCGATTTGCCGCCCAGCAGCAATAACAAAGGCGCTTTTAAGCATAAGCACGTACATATATGTATATGCACGATTATTGAACAATACTTGATAACTGCATTTGCGCCTGAAACAGTTAACATTTCTAACAGTGCGTTTACATAAACCAGTTGTGAATTATATCGCACACGTTTATTGACTGCAAGTTTAAACAAACACGCTGCGGCGCCAACTCGAGCAAATACTTACTAGAATTACGCCCATAAAAACTGTTTATAATCCTAGGTTAGACACTTTAGCTAACCTCCATAACGAGGCGTCACTTTTGCCCCACCCATATCAGTATCCGTATCTGCGCCCTCTGACGGTATTACATATATGGTTGATGACATAGGCCCCGTCGAGAGGCCGTAGAAACTCGGCAATTCAAAGACGTCACATCGAACAAGCTTGTTGCAGTCGAATGCCATAGAGATAATCAGGCAGACAGCTTTTTTTTTTTTTGATATATGTAAATGTTTAAATTTAAGTTAATTATAATTTTGATAAGCAAAACAAGAAACAAGAAATACATCAACAAATTTGTGCTCCTTTCACTTCTCTTTTCAAAACTCGCAAATATCGAATAATACAGACAAGCCTGCCAACTCTTCTATCGCTCCGATCCATTGAAAATAGTCCGCGGACAGGGTCAGTATATGTTCGATGAGGAGGGCACACGCTATCTGGACTGCATCAATAATGTGGCACATGGTAAGTAGACAAGCCTTTCAATCTGTCTAACTTGCAATCTTTCCATCTGTACAATCTTTCCATTTGAACAACATATATCTGCATTTATTATAAAATTATTTTTGTGGGTCAATTAATGGCGCCGGACTCGGGACCGGGGCCCGATGAAATGGGCTCGTCAGCGACAGGCCCGGGTCCACAGCTCAAAGCAGCACACAACAATCGTCCGTCATAATAATTTCTTTATGCTGATACGTCTGGGTGCATTGTGATAAAAAAAAGAAAAAAAAAAAAAACGGAAAGACACGTGTAAGAGTACGGCGTATAGGACGCAGCGATGCCCCCGGTAGGGCAGTGCATGCTCCGGGACTTTGGCAAGTTCAAGGTTGTGCACGTTGTGCACCCGGCACACAGAACGGCCTGGCCCAGAGCAGACCGGCTCAGCCGGCTGGCCAGACATCGGCGGCATGCTCAGGCCCCGATTGAGCAGCTTTGTGTGATTTGATTCGAGTAGCTGGCGCAAAAACTGACTCAGCCTTATCACACACACGTTGCTTGGGGCTGGCGCTGGGCCGGGGCCGGCCTATTCGTACGTCTCTGTTTTTAGATGCTGCCCGTTGATTTCGGGCCCCGGCACGCGGCACACGGCGCACAACAGCAGCTGTTGCCCGGTCTGATTAAGTTGCTCAAGTGATTGTGGGGCGGATTGGGGTGGTGAGAGAGGGATTGTGGGAGGGGGGGTTGTAATAACAACAACAATCAACTATGATTGACGTGTGTGCAATTTGCCAATTTGCGTTGTGAGAAACTGAAATTGTGTCCAACTGACACCACCAGCAAGTGCATCTTCACACATTGTTATCCCTTTTTTTTTTTTTTACGGAATTTTCCATTCAAAATGCACGTTAACAGTGCTTAGCAGCGTCGACTGTTACTGTTATGTAAGCTTCAGGCTTGCTGTTATCATTGCAATGTAAGCTGACAACAGTGCGCTGTTATGCTGACCTCTTCAAAGCCGCCGTTTAACAGTTGTGCGCAGTTTTCATTTTCATTTCCATTAAATTATTTTTGTTGTTTATTTTTGTTGTTTTTTTTTTTTTTTTTTGAATTTCATTTAAACAATAACAAACCCGAGGGGGCCTACGAAATTATCATTTGCATATGCTGAGCCTGGGTGCAAACAAATTATAATATTGCTGATAAGCTACAAAAATGGGCCCGAAATACGTCTAACTACCTACCTACATATACTATGTGGTTTCTATGCACAATCATTGTGCCATTATGGTTCGTTGTTCCCAACGTTGGCCGATAAGGCCCAGTGTCCAGAGTCTGTTAAGTATTTATAGCAACTATTTTGGTTGAACTAAAATTATAACAGATGCGGCTCGGAAAAAAACATCAAACATTATTAACCAAACAGTTAAACATAAGCTGTACATTTCAGAATATCGCTGCCCAATACGTTAGCCGGGAACTCGAGCTGGAATCCTCGCATTTGCCTGGAATTCGAACTCGAGTCGAACTCGAAAATACAGTGTTATTGTGTGTTTGTGTCCCTGTCCTCACTATCGAAAGTTGAATCAGCAATAATACGAGCTTAAATCATGCCACAGCTTGTTTATAAATAGTTCTATAAATATGAATTAAGGTCTTTAAATAGCATAGAATAATACACTTATGCGATTCGCTGCAACCTGAGCTATTGAAATAATCAGAAGCCAAAACAGTTTTAATAATAAGCTTGTTTTATTATCAGCATTGAATCGTTCAATCAAAGTGCCTGGGCAAATATCGAGGCTATTTCTGTGCACAAGCTGTTAACGTGATTTCGATTCCGAATTCGACTTTCCCAGCGCCACAATAGACCCCCACTTCACAGCGCAACAAAAGTCCACCAATGAAGTCCACCATTCAATACAGAGAACAAACAGAAGGAAAACTATTCTATAAAACGTGATAAGCCTGTTCGCTGTACACGTGTTCTCATTGCTGACAACAAGCACAACAACAATAATAATAACAATTTGTTGTTGTTTATTACAAAACTTTTGATCTCAATCGTCGCGCCTCACGCGTTCCAATCGCCACGTTATTCTATGATCTCGTGCTACTTTCCTATCGACAGCGACTGCGACTGCGACGGCGACTGCGACGGCGACTGCGACTGCGACTGCGACTATGACTACTCGTAGTTGCCGCTTATCAGCTATGGAAACTAACAGCTGAGAGCTTGCCCTGAAACTGGGCGTTCAGGCAACATGTGAACGTCTCGTGCCGAGTGGAAATCTACGCGAGATAACAACAACAACAAGAACAACAATCTGAATAAGAACAAGAACAAGAACAAGAACAAGAGCAACTTTACTACGCACTTTGGCCGATTGTCCGGCTAGCTAACCGACTGTACGCCCCTCTGTCCGACTCTGCCCCTCCGGCTAGTGTGTGCCCATAGTCTACATTCAATATTTGTTCAAGCCTTACAAACTGAGCAATCAGCGGGGCGTCCATTGCGAGTGGAAAATTCTGTGCAAGATAATGTGGAAAACACTTTTGACACACATGCACACACCAATACATATGTACGTACGTACATATATGTGCGTGTGCCTCTGCAAAAAATGCGGTCAAATGCGCACTTTGAAAAAAAAGAACCATTAGGAATAAAAAAAAATAACTACATAAATATTGCGAAAAATCAACAATCAGCACTTGACTAATTCTTACACATGCCTACAAAAACTTAAGACTGCGCACAGCATAAATATTTAGTTCTTTTAGAGATGAACTAAGTCTTAAAAAAAAAAAAGAAAACTAATATTAAGAGACTGATATCGTTAGAGATTGACAAAATATATTATAAAAAAAAAAGTTTTTAGAAATTGACAGAAGTTAATTTGATACAAAATTAAATAAAAGGTTAGCAATTCTTTCGTAAAACTTAATTGGAAACCTTTTGCCAAACAATATTTAACCAAGTTAATTTTTGATCTGGAATATACTCACTTTCCTTCAATATATTCAAAATATATTCTAGGTGTTCTTCAACATATTTAAATTTTATTTTTATATATATATTGGTTCTTCTTATGAAAAATATTACAAATATATTTGTAATTTTGCTTGGGCTCTATAATTTGAGACTTACTTGGAAAGCTTAAACGGCTTTCCCTTCGATCAAATGTTACCGCCACAATTTCACACTCGATTAAGCAAACGAGCCGAATTTTGTTGGACAGTGTCGTGTCGCCCACACGGCGCAATCACAAGCGGCCGCTAACTATTCGCTTGTCGCATTTGTTTGAGCACGCCTAAAAATAAGCATCCAATTGGGATTCACGTGATGCCACAGTGCGTCGTCCAGATCTGTGCGGAGTGAGAAGCGTTTCGCTTATCAAAGCGTTTGCGCATCTTCGCCCCGAAGTCCGACCTGGGCCTGTATAGACAGGCCCGGGTCCAGGCTACTCAGGCCCCGGCAGCGGACGCGGTCGATAAACGGGCCGGATCGCGGGTCTCTACATTGCCGTCGACTGATTACGCGTTCGATGTTTAGCACCCTCCCCCTTCCCTGCCCAACATCAGCTATCTGCTTCGCCGAGCTAGCTAAATACTATGCCACAATTTTGGGGGTCAGTTGCTCGCCTCGAGAATCACGTGAAGCGCACGCGATGCCCAACCGAGTGCACGTTTCCTCCTCTGCCGCTGATAAAACGTGCCTCGGCCAGACATTTGGCCATGACGAAATCTATTTTTATTGCCCAACTGGAATTGATAAACTAGCCGCTGCAAACTGGACGCCAACTCTGGAGCCAACTCGATTGGGTAACAGCACGTGAATCGCAAGATTCGAAGCCAAATTCCAATCTGTGATATTTATTTTAGGATTTATGCTGCCTGATTTATGTATCGAGATGCCTTCAAAGTATATTCCAAAATACACTTTAATAATATTTACATATGTATGACACTGCGTATGGCAAAGGTGAAGGCATATAAAGTTATGGAACATATTTCTCCCTTCGATGAAAAGCTAAGTTATTGTTTTTTGATTCAAAAGCTGAAAATTGTGTGGCACGAGTATTTCAGTTAAGACTTCCTATGGCAGCTATATGATATAGTGGTTCGATCCAGCCGGTTCCGACATACATCTGTGCTGCGTGCAACAGCAAGAGAGAGTTTTGTGAAGTTTTTGCTAAAGATAGATCGACTCGGCTGTTGATGCTGATCAAGAGTATATATAGATTATATATGGGATCGGAGATGTCTCCTACTGAGCGTTACACATTTCACGACAAAACTGAAATACCCTTTGCAAGGGTATACAAATGGATAAAATGAACAAATAGCTGAACATATCTTAACTTTCACTTGCAGTTGGCCACTGCCATCCGGAGGTGGTGCGTGCTGGGGCCCTGCAGATGGCCACCATCTCGACGAACAATCGGTTTCTGCACGACGAGCTGGTGCAGTGCGCCCGGACGCTGACCAGCAAGATGCCGGCACCGTTGTCGGTCTGCTTCTTTGTCAACTCCGGATCGGAGGCGAACGACTTGGCGCTGCGGCTGGCGCGCAACTATACCAAGCGCCTGGACGTGATCACGCTCGACCAGTAAGTGGAGACTGGAGACCCCAGTCTGAGCTGGGCATTAGTCTAATGTGCATAACAAATTCTTGCAGCGCTTACCATGGTCACTTGCAGTCCGTGATGGAGATCTCGCCGTACAAGTTCAATCAGCCTGGCGGCGAGCAGAAGCCCGAGTATGTGCATGTGGCGCCATGCCCGGACATCTATGGCGGCCAGTTCACCGATAAGCTGCACCCGAATGCGGATCTGGGCGCCCTCTATGCTCAGCCCATAGCGGACATCTGCGAGCGCCAGCAGGCCAAGGGCCAGGGCGTCGCCGCCTTCATTGCGGAGAGCCTGCAGAGCTGCGGTGGCCAGATATTGCCGCCCGCCGGCTACTTCCAGGCCGCATACAATGCGGTGCATCGCGCAGGCGGCCTCTGCATTGCCGATGAGGTGCAGGTGGGCTTCGGCCGCGTGGGCAGCCACTACTGGGCCTTCGAGACACAGGGCGTGGTGCCGGACATTGTCAGCGTGGCCAAGCCCATGGGCAATGGACATCCGGTGGGCGCTGTGGTGACCACCCCAGAAATAGCACAGGCCTTCTATGATACGGGCGTGGCCTATTTCAATACGTACGGCGGCAATCCGGTGTCCTGTGCCATTGCCAATGCGGTGATGCGCATCATCGACGAGGAGGGACTGCAGCAGAACGCCCACCAGCTGGGCGAGTATCTGTTGCGGGAGTGCAGCCAGCTGAAGCAGGAGTTCGAGTGCATTGGCGATGTGCGCGGCCTCGGCCTGTTTGTGGGCATCGAGCTGGTCAGCGATCGGGAGGCGCGCATGCCCGACACCAAGGCCGCCCACTGGGTGGTCAATCGAATGAAACAGCTGCACAAGGTGCTCGTCTCCAGCGACGGGCCCAACGACAATGTCATCAAGCTAAAGCCGCCCATGTGCTTCAATCATGAGAATGCCGATGAGTTTCTGCTCGCGTTCCGCGAATGCCTGACCACCCTCACCCAGGAACAGCTGCAACAGTCAGCCGCAGCGGCGGCTGCGGCGGCGTCGTCGGCCGTTACCACAAACGGTGTCATTGCCACCGCCGCGGACACATTGGCCAACAAGACGAAAATGTTCGAGCGGCAGGATCGTCTCATCAAATCCGTGTGAGTGCCGCAGCCGGATTCTCGCCGAGCCTGTCTTAGTTTTTAGTTACCACACGCAAAGAGATTTATGTTTACATATGTTTACTGTTACTTTTTTTTTTTTTTAATATTATTATTATTAGCTGTAGCAATATCTTACTGTTAGCCATATCTTAGATACATAGTTGAATTTCCATTTTTTTTTTGCTCTGCTTCTACTTCTAGTATCTAGAATTGTAGGCACAAATATTATTATTTTTCTCTATTCTTTTTTTTTTTTTTTGCTAACTTATGGAACAACAAAGTATATTCAATGTGTATATACAAATATTTTTAAATATAAACCAAATAAAATAAAAAAAAAAATCAAACATCTTGTATTTATAATTTGCAATATTTGTAAGGCTTTCTCTCAGTTTTCAGTGACACCAACCAAGTACAAAGTACTTTAAACAAAATATTATACAAAAGAAGCAAATATAAAGATATATTCAATATATACACGCCATGTTCAACAGCAAGACATTTAGCAGGGATTATGCAATAAATCGAATCAACTGAGCAGCTCCAGCCAATCGCATATTCCCTTTTGTTGCTTGCGTGTGTATTGGTTAACATGTGCGCTTGTATTGGTGTGCTCTGGCTCCACGCGGCTCAAACTTAGCCTCGGCTCACATCCGTGTCCCGTGTCGGTGTGTGACACACGCAATAAAAGCTTGCTGGCTGACGTACTTTCAGCGCAAGTTTGATTTATATCTACGAACTGAGCAGCTGCTCTGATCCCAAACATTGAATTTATCCAACCGTATGTGGTAGATGCCACAAGTTGGTTGGAGATCAAATTTAGCCCGCAACTTCCCTACGAAAATATCTGTGACTATTTGCGAATATTTTCGGTAGAAATGGAAATGTATGTATGTATATCCGAAAGCTATCAACATCGGACAACTATATCATATATTTTGCAAATCTAATCTATATAGAGCTATAGGAAGAATCAGTAGAAAAATGAGCTCATCTACAGCAGATTGCGTTTTCCATCATGTTCGATAGATATACTTGGTTTCTCGATGTAACACGGGAGAACGAAGAATCTCCAACTTGAAAATTATCTATACTCCTGTAGGTCCATCTAAAATCTATAAGGGCTGGAGAAATTTTGGTAGTAGGTTCTGCTATTGCCCGGGCACGAATTTGTTTCCGATAATCGATAACTTGCCCCGTTTCCAAGCAAGCGATAAGAATCGATATCGAAATCCTGTCCTTTAGCAAATGTCTTGGCTCATCTCATTTTATACCTATATCTGTACATATATATATATATATATATATATATATATACTTATTTCCATATATATATATAAGGAAACAAGTATCTTCAACTTCTTGTTATATTCTGGTTATATCTAGCTGGCCTAACAAACAGCTAACACAAGTTATATCTTTTTATAGATACTCACCAATTTGTAATAGCATATAGAATCTATGGGATCCAATTCCAATATAAAAACTACAATTGAAATTATGTTTTTTTTGTTTTTTTTTTTTGTTTTTTTTTTTGTTTTGTTTTGGTTTTTTCTTCCTTTTATTTGAGTTTTTTGTTTTTTGCTTTTTGTTTTCTTTTTCGTTCCATTGTTTAAAAATGTATTTCGCTTGTTCTTGTTCTTGTTCTTGTTCTTGTTCATTTTGATGTTTTACCGCGTGTATTATGTTTCCGTTTCTTGATGTTCTCTTTTCCTTCTCTGTAATATAGCAGATATACAGACATACCATGTACATATACATAAGCATGTATGTGTGTGTGTGTGTGTGTGTATATTTTGCATATTAAATAAGTTAATAATAATGCGCATTTCTAAAATTTGAAAAACTCTTTTTCCTTTTGTTTTTCTGCTTAAGTTTTTGTTTCATTTCGTATTTTTAACACTATTTAAAATCATATATATAATGTATACATATATATATATATATATATATATATTTCTGATATTTTGTTTTTTTTTTAATATATATATATTATGTATATAATTTAATAATTTTTTAATGGTCATTTCTGTTTATTGTTGTATGTTTAAATATATAAAATAAGCATTTCTGTTAGGGTTTTCTGCGTTTCCTTTTATTTATTTTTTTTTTTTTAATTTTTATGTATATTTAGTTAGTCATATATAGTATTATTTTTTTTTATAAGGTTTGTTTACAATTTGTTGCTATTTTCAAATAAGAATTGTGTGTTAGCTTTTTAATATATTTTTTGTTTTTAGTTTTTAGCAATGTTTGGCAGAGTTTTTTATATATCATAAAAAATGTGCTTTTTTATGTTTTAGAAGGAGCTGCGTGAAGCTTTGAGAAGCTTTTTCAAGCGCTTTAAAGCGCTGTGTGAAAAAGCAGGAAGATGCGGGAGCGAGGGAGAGAGAGAGAGATAGATAGAGAGAGGGAGAGATTAGCAGAGTGAGAGAGAGAGAGATTGACGAAAATCTTAAAGCTTTGTCCGGAAATTGCTGGGCAGAAATATGAAAAATGTTGCGCCTAAAACCAAGAAGAAGAAAAGTAACAGTACATGACAATAAAATCAAAAAAAAAAAAAAAAAAAAAAATAAGGAGAAAAGTGCGTACATTTAAAAAGTTGCGGATATTTCTCTACATTATGCGTGACATTTACAGCGTTGCAAAAAATGCTTAATGCGCATATTTATTGTTAATAATATTTACTTAATTCAATTTTTGTTTTTGTTTCCTTTCGTAACGTTCAACATGCCAATGCATACGCTTTTTCTTCGGTATAAACATGCTTTTATTTGTTGTTGTTTTTTTTTTTTTAAGTTTTTATTTCTGCTGTTTTGTTAAAAAGAACATTTTCTTCAGCGTTAACCTCACTTCTACGTTATTTTTTATTCGTTTTTTGTTTAATTTCATGTTTTTGTTTTCTTTTTTTAGTTTTTATTTTTTTTTATTTTTTTTTTCGAATAAAACGCTAAAATATGCAATGTAAATAAGTATTGTGTATATATAATATGCATTATAATATATATATGTATGTGTATATATACAAGTACGTATGTATGTGTGTATATGTATATATTTTGTATATAATAGTTTCTGTGTGCATGTTTCCACACACATACATAGATACATATATATATGCGAATGTATAAATAACTTCACTTCAATCTATGTACACGTAGGTGTATATATATATATGTATATATATATATATA